CAGGTTTGCAGTCAGACTTTGAGACGTGGAACGGAATTCAGGTACGAGGTCACCGGGAAGAGAACTGACCGTGTCTTTCTTTTGGAAACTAGTACATTGAATCTTGAGTGCATCAATGTGGACACAACATTGTTACTATGGTGGTCAAATGAATACATATATATATATATATATATGTATATATATATAGTTAAAATATAGAAAGGGACGCCAGCTGTGAAGGTGCTGGTGGTCGGATAGCAAAACGGACAGAAATGGGTACCTTGCCATTGAGTATCATAAATTCGTTTCGAGGGAGTGCACCGGAAAAACTGCATGGAAAAGTGTAAATTGTTCCCCAATCTAGAGTGACGTTTTCCACTGTTCGCGCCAAAAATGCAGCATCTGTGAGGGGGTCGAGGACGGACCAACAGAGAATGGACACGATGTGAAAGAACATAATTAATTTGAAAAGATTCTTACAAGAGCTGCTAACGGAAATCATAAATTAAGCCCGTGGGTGGCCTTACGAGGATTCCAACTCTAACGTAAGTAACTCGTCGAATCGAGACGAACATTAGGAAATATCATGCAGGCCCGTAGGGTACACACTAACAGGTTGAAGACAGAAGGCCTTCTGCCGATGTTAGATAAAGAATCGACATCGATCGTCACTGGTAAAGGCGGCGGCGGTCGGGCATATAACTTGCTTTCTTGCTCAACGGCAACCTTCTTCTGCAGTAAAATGACTACAGGACCTAGAATACCCTGAACTGCTGCGGCTCCGTAGGACACGACCAGTAGCATAACTGTGACATAACTATGAAGCGAAATGGTGGTTTGTGGTATTTGCGACCGCTTCAGTGACACAGGGATTTGCTCCAGGATGAACCCCCCAGTGTTTGCATATTCAACCGTCACAGAGCGGTTGGACAATGGGTTGATTACACTAGTTTACTCTGAACAGTCGGCAAATGGTTCCAATTTAGCCCTCTTCCCCAAGTAAGACCAGCGAGAAAGCAGGTTTTCATGATTACTAGTGACCGTCATACGACCATAAGCCAACTTGTTGGAAAAGCATGGATCAGGAATTCATGTTCTCTTGGTGATGTATGAACCCCACTTATGATGGGGTTACGGTTGCCACATAGAGGCCTCCTTGATGAGCGTGAAATTTTGTAGAACTAGTTACCAGCCGAGAATCCATCACGCCAGAATCCTGCTGGCCGACATGCAAGTCATCACATCATGGTTAACACTGTCACGTCACAATAAGTTTTGAGTGGGATTTGTGACGGATCAGAAAAATAAACCTTTGATTAACATTTTCAGACAATGTTCCATAGACAAGCCCATGGTTGGGTTATTATCAGATCCTCCAAGAGGATGGGTAATTAATCAGATGAAACCTCCTGCTGACTGGTGGATTAGTAAATACTTCATCAAAACCAAAACTTCACACCCAGGTGAAATTCGCCATTTGTGCAAACCGGTCAGTAAACGCGTGGTCCTGTGGAAAGCAGTGGGACACTGTAAACCACGATCCCCATACAAAACACTCGATGAATTTCAATAAGTAGAGAATCTCTTGTGACTCTGAGCTCCCCGGGATCCAACCTCACTGTCACGATTAGTTCTATCTTAGTTAAAGCAACTCTTGATGCAATATACGTACACGGAAGTCAAAAACTGACAAAAAAAACAATATGCTCACCCAGTGGATTAATGTGGTAGTTGAATTTTGTGGTTCGTGAAGTCCCATCTGGTAGCGTTTCTTCAGTCTTACACTGGTATACATATTCCATATCCTCCATACGAACTCGAATCCTGAGACTACCATTTTGCAAGATGGTGTGAAAGTCATCTTCTTCAAGTTGTAGTCCACTAGAATACCAGTTGTGACCAGGTTCACAGGGAAACACAACGACGCTATTTACAGCCGCATCGATATCTTTGTCTCCAAGCAGCACCTCCGTCTCAGTACCTGTTACCAAATTCACTGTGGATGGAAGATGGAACAGTAATTCGAATTGATTTGCGCGGTAATACGAAAAACTATGGAATACGTACAGGTACAACCAAAGCAAAATGAGTGTCACTGACCGTGAAACCTGAAGAAATCTCACAAAAACTAGCTAACTACACAAACAACTAGGCCCGGATGACATACAATCCCCAAGTTGGGAAGATAGGACATCTGTCCGTCAGTGAAGAAGTTGGATATACAGTTAATCCCTGTTAGAATTCTCCCTCATAAGGACTCATTCTCAGGCCCCAATTATTATTCCACCTACAACTAACCTAGAGTCGACCACCTGGTTTCAAACGACCCTGGGAAGTCCTGACAAGCGAACCAGTTGGTCGACACAAGCAGGATAGCTAATGGGCCATCGTTCGAGACACTGGGGAAACCAATCACATCACTCAAGCGTGAACACGGTAGCCTGTTAGGATGTGAAAACTCAGGTGAGCTCAGCATGTGCTAATGAAATAGGGGTAGGACGCCCGTCTCGCATGTCAGGTGGATGGAATTCCGACCCGCGTGAAGCTAAAGAGATGCACTGCTGATGAGCTCTAATAAGAACGAAACTCGAGATCGGTGCTTCACCCCTTTGGTTTGGACTCACCAGAATAACTGTGTTATCAAACGGGAACTGTTCAAAGAGAGTTATTCTATGAGTACCCCAACCACCGATAACAATTCTCTCAATACGTCCCGGAAATGAGGTAGAATAGCAAAAGGTGTGAATTATCAATAGCACGTTTTGGAATTCTCACACGCATAACTACTGTTCTCAGGCTTTCGAAACATCAGAGAACCTATCACATGTATATCATAGGGAGTTGCATTTTCATGATGATAATCAAGTCAGCCTGCCGCCGGTATGTAAGATCCATTAACTGCACGTTGGTACCCCTGGATGAGATGAAGGGTTATCGCGCAACTTCAATAGTTTCTGCTGTATATTTTCATTGGGAGACAGCTTATACGGGTTTACATGAGACCTAGTAGCCTGTTCCTTGCACGTTGAGCGCAACTTTGAGAACGAGCTATTTGAGATTAAGCCCCACGGTAAATAGACTCGAACAATTATCCAGAACACTGTTACCATATGGTTCACTAGACTCATGTCACTACAAACCCTCCGAGTACAACTATATTTGCACAGGACTTGATCGCGTAAAGCAACAGAGACTGGAATTTCGAGGGCGTGGCAATGAAGGCATGCACCTCGGAAACGTACAGGCAAACGCGACGATGTCAGTTAGGTCATAAATGTTAGTTCATACTGTTCGAGGCCGCACATCAGCGAACTGGAAAGACACATGAAGAACTGTCTGCTAAAGTGTCATTTCTACAAACAACCGAGGTAGTTGCGGTTAAACACCTGATATATTCACAGTTCATCGAGAGACAAGCAGCGATCCACAGTTATTCAAGCGTTTCGTTTCGGCACCGCATGCCTAGATATTAGATCTCGGAATAAGTTAGTATGGAAGCCGAGTTGCGCTAATCCTAGCAATACATGCCGGCTGGGACTGCTCACAGTTTGAAAGCTTCGGTGAAAGAGTGACTAGTGGGATGAATGAAAGTTTGAGTATTCTGCCACTGATAAGAGCTATCCAACACGGCTCCTGAAACTGGTGGTTTCATGGCACAGCACACATGGTGCGTGAATTTGAGGATCGTAGTCATTCGGCAGCTTTCAAAAAAGCCGGGCTTCCATTTCGCTGAGGGACGAAAATAATCATGTGTAGGATGCAACATGGTCTGTTTAGCTGTGATACGAGACTGCATTACAATCGTCCTTGACAGCAACAGCAGATAAGACTATTGGCGCTTCACTGCCCTACAAACACGTCAATTTATTTGAATAAAGCCTCAAACTAGCAAGAAGAGCAAGGGACAGGGAGGGGAACTAAAATTAGCCTACCACATCCGAGGTGTACACGCCTCCAATGTTTAGCAAATATGTATAAGGGCTGATAAAGAGAACCCCACTAACATTGGAGTAGCCACCAATCCGTTCAGTATTTCAAGCGAAGCACAGAGAGGGTTACACGGACCTCACCCTAGAAGGCGAATAGCACCAACAGCACCCTGAATCTCTGTAACATCATCCCCATCCTCCATGTCAATTTCCGTCCACCTGTAGGTCTCCGCCACTCCGCCAGAAGCGGCCAGGTTGCGCAGCCGTACAACAACACAGCCCGCACTGTGGTCTGATATGCATATCCGTTGAGACCCAACGATGTGTCTTTGAGTGCAAGAAATGGAACAAATTCGAGAAAGCGGTTCTAGCCTCTGATATTAGTTCCCTGGCTGCGTCTGTCAATCTGCCGCTAATGCAACTTCCAAGATAAGTATGGGGTTCCACAGCCTCTAGTGTTACTCGTTGAATTCCTAGAGGTACATTCAAAGAGTGTAAGTCTAGTAGCATGACTCAGCATTATGTAGGCGTGAAGCGTATGCCAAAAGACTGGATGACCCTGGTCAGCTGTTCTAGTAACTCAGGCGCTCCCCCGTCTTTTCCACAAACGAGAACAATTTCGTCTGCATATTCCAGGTCGGTAGGATTGCCACTCAGAGAGATCTGAACATCAAGTTTTGGAGACCTTCCAGTGCTCGCCTCATTATTTCAACAAAGAAACTTAGCAAAAACGGAGAGTACGCATCCTTGTCGGACACCACTACTCGTAGGAAAGCTCTTGGAGAGCTCTCCATTCGTTCACGCGCTAGCACGCATGTAAATACAAACAGCGCACGATATTCACGAACTTCTGGGGCATACCCTATTGTGCGAACGTGTTGGGAACAAACCAGTCAACAAGATCGAATAAACCCTTAAAATAAAGGAACATCACGATTGCAGGGAGCTCCTATGAATGTCGTTGCTTGAACGCTTGATTAAGTCTGAAGATGTGGTTAACACAGATTCTTCCCGACCGACGTCTTGCTTGCTGTTTGCGAATTCCATCTTCATGCGCCTTCGTAAGGCGATGTAGAATAATCGATGCAAAGTCTGGTTACAACGGGGGTCAAGTTAATTCTCCTGTGACTGCCACACTCAATGCAAGCACCCGTTTTGAAAATTGATACCACTATCGACTCAGTACATTTAGTTGGAACAGTTGGAGCACCTCGGAATGACTGAAGCAGGTTAGCACTAAGCCCCTTCCCTGTCCACGAAGGATCAGCATTGAACACTGATATCCTGCCTTCGATGACGGTGATAGCTCGGTGACACTTGAGGAAGAAAGGCATTCATGCATTCCCGAAGCCGCTAAGGGCTACAAATCCACATCCCAGGGCTCCGTTTCGGGTCAGGAATCTGGTTGAGCAACTGAAGCTGGTACGTTGAACTGATGTCGAATGTGTTTAACCCGACGAATAAGCGTTCTTATTTTTTGAAGAGCAAGTCCTTATTACCAGTGACCGCTTCACGCACCACCGGCCTCCTTGGGCCCGTCACGCGTATCAACTAGAACAGCTTTCGTACATTCCCAGAGTTTCTCGCTTCCTCCGCTCATTCAACCGCACCAACCTTTAGCTCATTGGTGGTCAACAACAGCGGAACCAGGTGCAGCGACCTTTGGAGTACCAGAAGTGCAAAGTCGGAGGCGATCGGAAAGCGATGTGGTAAGTTCAACAAGTGCTAGCAGCGATGGTATAGTCAGTTGATTCATATTGTCAGTTTAGTTGACCGAAGGGACGGAAAACCGGGCCTCTATCACAACTACCACGGAGGGCATTCTTCGGAAATTACAGCTTTCGTTGCAGTTCCCAAGTCATTCGCTCATGCAACTAGCTTCATTTCAACTACCCCATTATCCTAGAATTTAGGATTGCGTTCGATTTTGTCAATCGGTTAGTGCTCTCAACTACAATCCCTCAACAAGGGATGCCGCAGAAGTTTGCGAACATGATCTCGTCTCTATATTCACATACTTCTGAGACTGTAAACAGAATAACGAATAAATAATTCAGCTGTAATACCCTTTCGGTGCTCAGCTGCTATGCCAACCAAAGGAAGCACAAGAGCTGGGATACTGCCAGGCTGCCTAAGCCCAGAGAGGGGAAGCCGAGATACAGAGGTCAGGATCGAACCACGGATCTTCCAGTCAGTAAAATCGCACTCAAACCACTGAGTCATTTCACTCCCTGTTGGGCGTATGCGTACATGATGAACACCCGAGAAACCTACCTACAACAAGTGAAGTCCGTCAATGGTGTTTATTCTGCTCATTCCTGTTTGACTTCATCATCGAGTACATAAAGAGACGAACGCTGGCGAGTAGCCGAAGCCCCAACGTTCAAATTGTTGCTGGCGGGAACATTGTCGAACTGGAGTACAAGGACGGTATCATTCTCACCTATGAAGACGAAGGCCAAGCACAAGCTCTGTTGAATAAACCGACCACCATCATACTACCTTTCGGTATGCACCCCATATCTCCGAAGTGCTTCAGAACTTACAGTCTTTGAACATTCCCCTTGCAACTCAAGAATCGCTGGAGGTTGTGGAAATTTTCACATACATCGGTATTTTTCTTTGCTCAGAGGGAAGTGTGTCCGATGAAGTCGTTGCACGAATCTTATAAGCCCGAACCACGTTTGTAAAATCTGCGTCCCTTGTGGCACCAAAAAAGCATACCACTGAGTATCAAGGGCCGTGTACATTAAGCTACAGTACTGTTGGATGGCTGCAACATGACTCTGAAGACAGGTGATGTGAACCATCTACAAGTTTTATGACCACCAACGCTGCTGGTGGTGGATGGCGTCAACGAATTTGTAACGAGGTAAATAGAAAATGGGTGTTCAGTTGTGCAGTGGGAACTTTAGTCACTGCAGCGAAGCATTAGTCTTGAGAACCGACATTATGCTGTCGACGATGATAACGACTTAAATTACGGAAAACATCCAACACTATCGAATGTTGTGGATAGGTCACTTGGTACGCATGTCGAAACACTGTCTACCGTGACGATTGTACT